AATTTTAAGCATGTGTGCACCCCCATAAAGAAGGTGTTATGTTTATCTCTATTCTATATATGAGGAAACTGAGACAGAGAGGTATCTGAACCCAAAATTGCGTGCTTAAAACCCCTATCCTACACAACTGCTTAGTCTAGCGCAGAGGAAGGAACAGAGATGGGAATAGGATGTAGTCAGCCCCCAGAGGATGCTCAGAGTATGGAGACTTCCCCCTCAGAGAATGAAATCCCAGCTGAGCCGTGATCAGGGGAGAAGGGAGTGAGGAGGGAAACCTAAAAATAAATTTACAGACTAATAGGAGAGACAGGCATTAACCAAGAAAGCAAAGAAATAAGTAACTTTACCACAAATGATGCCACGTTACATGAAAGTAAACCGAGATGTGGAAATGGAGAAAAAAATAGGGAAGAATATCCACTTAGTTTGAATTAAGAAGAATTTTCTGAGAGGAGACATTTAAGATGAGCCCTGAATTATTGAAAAGGAGCCAGTCATGCATGGAGCAAGGGGAAGAGAATTCCAGAAGGCCTGAAGAAGGGAAAGATTTCAGGATCTAAGATCACTTGTCAGTGAGGCTGGGAGGATGGAGTGACCATTGTACCTGCAGGCTGGCATGGCCTGGAGAAGAGATGGAACAAAGTACTAATATTAATAGCTCTGTAATAATAACTTCCATGTACTCAGTCCTGAGCATGAACCAACAGGTGCTGGTCCTCCCATTTTTATGAGACAAGTGAGAACTGAGAGGTCGCAACCCACCAAAAACATAGCTAAGGGTGGAAAAGCCAAGCACAGGGCTTAGAACTCTGGAATCTCAGTCCGAGCTCTTCCCCAGCCCATGTGGTCTTGACCCACCAGAGTCACTATTTAATGACAGGAGGTCTCCTCGTGTAACCGCTGTGTTCAATATGCTGAACGCTCATTCAGGACCACGGCCCCTCCATAGAGGCTCTCGCCTCTGGAACAAGGGGACCTGGGCAAAGTTCCCGTTTTCTAACTCAGATACTTCCTGTAAACAGGGCTCACTCTCAATGTGACTTCTAATAATCAAGAAAATAAATTAGATCCCAGAATCTCTTACTCTAGATAATAGCTCATTCTAGGAAGTCATTAATGCCGTAAATCAAACTCACAACTGTTGACAACATGAAAGCACATTGTTTACCTTCCTTTGATTCAGCTGAGTATCAATTAGCTCAGTGATATTTACATAAATATCTCGATTTGGAGGGCAGAATTGTCCATCTGCTTCTGGAAAGATTTAATTAGGTCGGTGTTGCTAAGGAAGAAGAAATTAATCCTTTTCAACATTAACCTTTTCAATTAATATATGTTTTGCAATGTATTGGAAAACATGCCTTGTTATGTAAATTGGACAAACTGGAACATTTCAGGGTGCAAAAAATGAGGTCTTTTACAGTGAAAATACATCTCTGTTTCCAAATCTTGAAAATAAACGGATATGGATAGGCTCATACACATACATTTCTTCTCGGTGAGGGTTTCTTTCAACTCAACCTCTTGCAAGCTTCTCTTTGATGTTGCATATGCCCTGAGTCTGTAAAGGATGCTCATGCCCACTGACTCACCTGGGTGACTCCTGCTGGGCTTTTCATCTTACCTTAGCACTTTCTTCCTCAAGGTGTGCGGCCCTCCTCAAATCCCTGAATAAGATCAGGGCCCTGGGTCACAGGCCTTCATCACCTGTGCACTTTTCCTTCAGGGCACTCCTCACTTGTAATGGCTCCTTTATGTGTATCCCACCCACGGAATGTTCATCCCATGAATATACAGATCATGGAAACCTCGTCCGCTGCTGTTTGTAAGGTGCCCAGCAAAGTATCTATCGCGTGGAAGGCGCTCACTAAATATATGTGGAATGAATGCATGCACACTGATTGGGATCTCACTGCTCACCACTCCAGCTCACAGAAGCAAACATCTCTTACAGCTATGTGAATTACAAAGGCAGACATGTATCTACCCTTCCTCTTGTCCCCATCCGGACCTGAACAGGAGCCTTTGCTCCCAGATCACCCTCTATTGTGAGTCTTGTGCAGCCAGGTGAGCTCACTGAAGACTTCCGTGTTGCTAGATTCAACCTTCCGAGGCCTATGACATGGTTCAAAGAAAAGGTCTCTGTAACTTCGTTCTTTGGATGTTCTCGGTCTCTCCTCCTTTGCCTATGATCAGGCGTTTCTCACTCCCCTATGAGCTTTCTGTAAGGGCCGAATGTTTTCACATGGCTTCCCAAAGTCTTTATTCGTTCCAAGATGGGGAGAATCATCATTATAATTACAGCCACCCCTTACCAGATGCCAGCTATGCTCCAGGAATGTTCTAGATTCTTACATAAATCCCTAAACTTGCAAAAAAAAAACCCTCAGGCATCATTACCTGTGTTTCCAGATAACAGAACAAGAGAGGAGAGTGACGTCCCCCAAGTCACAAAGAAAATTGGACACAGCCTTGGTTTCTAAACTCAGATCTGTCTCAAGGACCCTCCTGATTCGCCATGAGACATACAGTCTCCAAGGTCTCTGCCGAACCAAAGCCTCAGTGCTAAGTACAGGATTAGGTCTTCAATCACAACTCTGTTAAACTAATTGACCAGGGCTGAGATGAATCAGAATCACTTATCTCAAAATGTGTTACTCTATTCATGTTATTGCTTCCATAAGAAATGAGCTCCCTGTAAATTAGCTGACAAAACTTGAACATACAAAGCAGAGATTGGCAACTTTTCCCACAAAGAGTCAGATAGCAAGTATTTCTGGCTTTGTGGGCAACAACTGAACTCTGCCACTGTAGACAGAAAGTGGCCATAAGCAATTCACAAGGAGTGGGTGTAGTGGTGTTCCAATAAAACGTATTTACTAAAACAAGGAGGATGGATTTGTCTCTCAGGCTGTAGTTTTTTGGCCTCTAAGATAGACAAGAAGTACTTGATGTAAAACGATGTTTTCACCACTCTACATTAAATACATAATTTGATCCTTACTTCATAAGTATGAGCATTGCCTCCATTTTAAAGACAAGGATATGGAGCCTCAGAGGAAGACAGACTGAGTCCCAAGGGTGCACAGCTGTTAGCCATGTATCTGTAGTCCTAGGCCCAAGAAGGTCTCCAGTTGCACAAGCTGAGTTGTTGTTTTTTTCCCCCAGAAAACTGAGAATACCTTTAAATTTTGTCAGAATCTCTAGTCCTTCAGGGACCATCAACTCCTCAATATTCAGAGTGACCCCCTTTCTCCTCCAAAGCCCATCCACCCGTGGTGAGGGCAGGTGATGGTAATTCACAGGAAAAAGGAGCTGTCATATAAAAGTTCCAGTGACTAATTTCCTAAGGGAGTGACAAGAAGTGACAACTCCAGACAAAAGGGGCCATAACTACCATGAGGACTTTCTGGCACATAGCAGGTGATCAATAGCTCAATACTGAACGATTTCAGTGGATAGGGAAATTTGATGTGAGAATGGCAACAGTGGTGATGGGGGGGGGGGGCGGGGGTAGAGGCAGATTATTAGACACACACTGAGGCTTTGGGTCAGACCAAGCTTCTCTAGGTCCGGCTCTGGCCTTTCAGTAAGCTGTAAATAGCCTTGGTAAAGTTACTTACCATAGGCGAGCCTCAGTTTCCTCATCTGTAAAAATGGTGATGATGCTAGAACTGCTTTAATAAGCTGTTGTGAGGATTGGATGCGATAATTCACATAGGGTACACGGCTCATTTTATAACTCCACAAATGGCGGTGATTGGGACGAATGTGCTTACCAGTGGTACTGACTCCATTTATGTTTAGACCTCTTGTTGGCTTCCACACCCACCAGTTCTCAGCCTACAAAGAACTACGCATGCCAGTTAAGGGTATGAAGTCCCATGGTATAATATACCAAGTCATTGAATATGTTGGTGTGACCACTGTTGACCACCAAACCTCTTTTCAAAGGCCTGAACTCTACCAGATTTTTTTTCTAGAAGATTTTGTGCATGAAATTATACCAACATTGGAATGACAAAAGTGTAAAAGTGATAGACGAACACAACGGACACTAAACAGCAGCAAAGACAAATAAAGACAGTCTGATTTACTGGGGATTGTGACATGTGGTTTTGCCTCTTGTTTGTTTCTCATAAAGTTCCATTAAGGTACCCCCAGTGTTACTTAGGAAATAAGAAAAACAGAACAAAGAAATATTTCAATGAACTGACATTTAAAAACCAGTGATATTTGGCAAAAAAGAAAAACGTCAAGCCCTAAACCATGTGAAATTGCTTTCATCAACTGAAGCATTCATGAGGTAACTATTTTAACTGATTAAAGAGTTTTATTAATTGCATTTAAAAAAAAAAAATCTCTCATGAACTTGAGCTATTCCGCTGGCGGGCTGTTCGGCGGGCTGCTTAGGTGCTTTCCTTTCCCTGTCTCTCCAGGTTTATTATGGATTCCTAGTCCACAGAGAACTGAAATAATTGAGCCATTCAGAGGAAATCTGACCATTTTCATGAGCTGTGTCCGCCTCAGCAGACAGACTCCCTTAGAACTCCCCAGAACAGTACAGATGGTCCGGGCACAAGGTCATCTGCTTGTTATTCCAAATAGCCAGGCAACTCACTGGCCAATTACAAAGCAGGCCTTGAGCTTCCTGAGAGTTCTCTTGTTTTACAAAATGTGTTATTCCCACAAAACAGGTTTAGAGAAGTGTTATATGTCATGCCCCCTCGCCCCCTGGTACCTTCTTGTTCCCAAAACGGCACTCTACATGGAATCAACAGATCTGGGTTTGCCTCTAGCTCTGGCATTTGTTTGCCATGTGATCTTGGGAAAATCATCTAATTTCTCAGAATCTCAGTCATGCCAATCACCCTACTTACCTCACCAACATCATGTCTATAAAATGCTTTTTACCATAAAAAAGTGTTTCCCAAAACACAAAGGGAGTACCTACAGGTTCCAGACTCTCGGCTAGAACTCAAAAAGGAAAGACACAGTACCTGCTGCCCAGAATCCAACGGAGAAAACAGGCATCCAGACAGTCAGAGTAGAGGGAGCTGTGGGACCACAGCCGGTATGGGGGTGGGGATATCCTGAGGTCATAGAAGGCTTCACAAGACAGATGATGTCTCAGATGATTCCTGAAGGAGGGAGAAGGAAGTGGGGATGACAGTCTGGTCTGTGAGAAAAGTATAGAAGGATGCTGCCAGTCAAAGAGCTCAGCATATTAGGGAAATGTCCTAGAACTCATCAGGGCCAGAGCCTAAGGGAATATGGGAGAAGGAAAAAACATATAAATATAAATCTGGCAGGGAAGAGTAACATATATTATTGAGAGTCTTCTATGGATAAAAAATAATCCCTCACATCATTTGGCTCTTATCCTTGATTGGGTCATGTATGAATTTTAATATCTCCCTTTATCATTACTGCACTATAAGGTAAGTAGTATTACTATCCCCATTTTACAGGTGAGCGAACAGATGCCCAGAAAGTTGAAAACCTTCCCAAAGTCCCATAGCAAGTGGTCAACCCGGAACCCTAACTTAATTCCGTCTGATGGCATAGTTACTGCTCTGAGTAATCACTGAGGTCTCCTGCCCCAGTGGAGGGTTTTGGCATTATTACACAGGAGCTTATGTTGGACACATTGTAGGACGGACTACATGAGTCCCACTTCTTGGTATTCATAACCTTGTGTGACCACCTCTCTTTGTCTTAAAGTTTATTTATTTTTGAGAGAGAGAGACATACAGAGAGTGAGCATGAGCATGAGCGGGGGAGGGGCAGAGGGAGGGAGATGCAGAATCTGAAGCAGGTTCCTGGCTCCGAGCTGTCAGCACGGAGCCCGATGTGGGGATTGAACTCACAAACTGTGAGATCATGACCTGAGCCAAAGTCGGATGCCTCACCGACTGAGCCACCCAGGTGCCCATCCTCTTGAGTGTGGTGGCCTAACAACTTTTTTCTAACCAACAGAATACAGCAAAGGTGATGAGATGTCACTTTCGTGACTCGGATATATTTAAAATTGTGACTCTCGGGGCGCCTGGGTGGCGCAGTCGGTTAAGCGTCCGACTTCAGCCAGGTCACGATCTCGCGGTCCGTGAGTTCGAGCCCCGCGTCGGGCTCTGGGCTGATGGCTCAGAGCCTGGAGCCTGTTTCCGATTCTGTGTCTCCCTCTCTCTCTGCCCCTCCCCCATTCATGCTCTGTCTCTCTCTGTCCCAAAAATAAATAAAGGTTGAAAAAAAAAATTAAAAAGAAAAAAATTGTGACTCTCCTCTTGCTAGAAGACTCTGTTCCTTGCTGGCCTTTGATGAGATAAGAGGCCATGGGGGAAAGGTCCATCTGGTAAAGAACTGAGAACTGATTCTGGCCAAGAATCAGGAAGGAACAGAGGCCCTCAGTCAAACAACACTGTAAGAACGGAATGCTGCCAACAATTTGAGTAAAATCGGAGTGGATCTTTCTCTAGTCCAGCTTTCACCTGAGACCCAAGCCCTGATTTAGGAGAGACCTTGAAGCAGGTGGGTCTCCAGCTAAGCTGTGCCCGGATTCCTAACCCACATAAACCATGAGATAATACACGCATGTTGATTTACGCCACTATGTTTGTAATCATTTGTTGCATAGAAATGGATACCCGATACAGAGTCTGTGAAGGGTTTAAACACAGGAATGATCAAGGACAGGTCTGCATTTTATAAGTCGCTTTTGCCAGCAGGGCACACGATGGATTAGACGACAGGGTGGAGAGATCAGCTAAGAGGTTATTTCACAGTGAGTCATGATGGTGACCCACACTGTGGTGGTGACAGAGGTAACGGAGGAAGGGAAAGTAGAGGAAGTGACAGAAGCAGTGTCAGGGGCAGATTCAGCAGCACAGTGGGTCCCACCTGATGCATGTATGGGGCAAGGAGGGAGCACTGGGTTTGCACACAAGGGTCATTCCACTGGACTCACCCAGAGCATAGACCTGGGAGCTCTCAGCAGCCACGCAATTGCACCAGCCTGGCACAATGCCACACGAGTCTCAGGGACCCACTGCAGCTGGCAGAGGACTGCTGAGTGTCCAGATGGGACAAGGGGATTCTCCGGGCCCTTTGGGTACCAAATTCTAAAAGTCTTACCTAAAGGGAATTGGACACTTTAGGGGGCCATAGTAGAATTCATCCTCTTAAAATTCAGCCCCAGAGAGGTGCCCTTGGTATCAGACAGCACATCAAAATGCCTTCTGTAGGAAATAGTTCTCTCTGGAGAGAACCAGAGGTAAGTAAAAGACAGGTTTCCGAGGCAAGGATGGACCAATAACCCCAGTTCCGGGAAAGACACAGCTGAGAAGATGGGCTCATGGCCTTAGCCACTCACTGGGTGTACTGCCTCCTTACTACTGCTTCTTCCTTACTCAGACAAAACCACCACCACCACCACCACCACCCACCCCGCCATCCAGAATTAACATGGGGCTGAAATGAGTTAAGAACCCTGGAAAGGAAAACATGAAGCACATGTCAGCTGATATTAACATGGTATCGTAACTGAACCTCAGAAAGATCAGAATGTAATGGTTGGTGGTATTTGGTTACAGCCGCCCTGGAAAACGAATACAATCACACAGCAATCGGGCTCTAAAACCCATGTAAGTGCACCTCTGCCCATCGAAGTCCACTCGGTTCTCCCGGGATCCCACATGGGCACTTGGGTGCAGAAAGGTCCTGGCACAGCTGGTGTGAACAGGTGGCTGGTCCCAGACCCTAATGGCTGTAAGCAGTGAATGTCACCCTCATAATGATTCAGCTTCCGATACGTGATGGAACAGCTGAGGTCAGGGCAGGAAACTAGAGCAGCAGTTGTCAAAGTGTGGTCGCCAGCATCCCATGGGCGCTTACTAGAAATGCAAACTCTCAGGGTGCACACGAGAATCAGAATCTCTTGGCCCAGGGCCCAGAGATTTAGGTTGTAACAAGCTCTCTAGCTGAATCTTAAACACTCCAAAATTTTGAGAAGCTCTGGCCTGGAGGAAATGTGTCTAACTGGAGCAATGGCTTACTGCACCCCTGGCCAATGCTCTGTGTTAAAGGAAGTCAGAGAGGGACATGCGAGATGCTGTCCGTGGGGCATCCAATGTTCCAGAAAGGAGCAACAAGTAATAATTGAGCACATACTATATGCCAGGCACTGTGTATCTTCTGAGGATACACCAGTGAGTAAAAACAGTTGACCCTTGATCCTTTTTAAGTGTTTTTTTGTTTATGTATTTATTTTTGAGAGAGAGAATGAACAAGCCAGGGAGGGGCAGAGAGAGAGGGAGACACAGAATCCGAAGCGGGCTCCAGGCTCCGAGCTGTCAGCACAGAGCCGGACGTGGGGCTCGAACTCACAGACCGTGAGATCATGACCTGAGCCTGATTTGGACACTTAACCGACTGAGCCACACCGGTGCCCCAACCCTTGATTCTTTAGTGCTGACAGTTTTATACGTCATGCCACAGACGTGAGAAGGGGAGGAGACAGAGAGAGACTGGCAGGGCAGATAACTTTGAGGGTCAGGAGAACTGACCGTGTTGCCTGCAGAGCGCCTGCGTGCGATCCAAGCAGAGGGTTTAGGTGGAGACACTGCAGCTCTTTATACAAGCTATGACTACCAAGGGTGCCTACAAGGGTCACCCCTGTGTCAGGTGTGAGGGTTGTTATCCCAGGGCCACCAGTGGCTTTGCCCTCGGCCCCTTGTTCTAATGAAGCATCGCCTTCAAAGCCACCCCCACCAGCCACACGCATTTTTAGAACTCCTCAGTATTCTGCAGCAGTCTTCGGTTTGCACTGCCCCAGAAGCCGACCCTGAGATGGGTATTTGGTACCGGTACCTTATTTTGGAAGACGATTCCTCAAAATATGGAAGATGGTTCCTCGAAGAGAGAAGAAGGGAAACGGCACCCGTAGGAAAGCCGATGAAGCCAGTGTTAATGAGCGAGTCACTGCTGTGAGTGACAGGGCTCGGTCTTACAGGTGACCCTCTGGGAGACCGTGAAGGACAGCCGAGAAGCGGGCTGCCCAGAGGTGAGCAAGCACAGTCTGCACCTACCAGATGTCCCCAATCCCTGCTTGAGGGCTGTTCCTGGGCTTTAAGCTGTGACTCTGACCTGTCCTGCACACAGACAGAGCCCCCTTCTATAGTCACAGACTTACGATGTCATCAGTGTGGAGGGAGACTGTCTTCAGGTGACCCCCCCAGGGCAGCCTACGGGACTCTGTACCAGAATATCTGTTACATAAGCCACAAACACGTGGCATCTTGTATCTGAGCTCTACAAACGCTGTCACCACCAAGAAAATCTGCCATGCTCTCCTTGTGAATGTCAAGTTGGGCAAGATGCAGTTCTCTCTGTCCGCTTCTCCATCCTTATGTCTAATGGAATAATGAAATGCCTTCCAATGAGATGATACAGATAATTTGATCCCTGGCAACAGCAAAGAAATGGTGTTTCTGTTCCTCTGCACGTGATCACGGCTAAACATAAGAAGACATTGGTGCCGACTCGGAAATACCGGAAGCGGCTGATGGTCTTTGGAGGCCACTGCAAGTTGTTGGGGCTCAGGGACCCCGTCTCCTTCATGACTGCCTCTCCAGCACCCCCGGTAGGGCGCACACCGAGCGGAACGGCGTGCTGGCTGGGATCAACTTTCGGAGCTTTAAAGGGCTTTGAGTGTGCCTCATTTCACAGAAGTCTAACTCGCTTAGAAATTCTTAGAGTTTCAAATGGACATGTTGAAAATTCACGCTTTCATTCACTTTTAATGAGAATTTTCTTTTCTCAAGAAGAATCTGCGGGCTGCCTTACAAGTAATTCCACAGCCATCTGGAAGACTTGTGTTGCTACTTAGAAGTGCTAAAAGAGATATATATGGAGGCTGACTCCTGGCGAAATTGGAAACGAAGGGACGCACGCTTTAGCAACACCCACGTCCCTTCCCGGCTTCCCGTCCTTTCTCCCCGTGTCCCCAGAGCTCCAGGCACAGACGGCACGCATGCCTCCAAGTCACACAAACGTTTGAGAGATTTAAGACACTACGCTTCCCACAAACATATTTTGTTTCGCCAAGGATACCTGCAGGAAGAAACCCTCATTTCGCAAGGATGCC